AGCAAATCGAAAACTGCAAATGACCAAATCGAAAACTGCAAACGATCAAGAACCCAAAAATCGAAAACTGCAAACTGCAGCAAATCGAAAACTGCAAACGACCAAATCGAAAAATTGAACAGCAAATTGAACAGCAAATCGAAAACTGCAAACGATCAAGAACCCAAAAATCGAAAACTGCAAACTGCAGCAAATCGAAAACTGCAAACGATCAAGAACCAAAAAATCGAAAACTGCAAACTGCAGCAAATCGAAAACTGCAAACAACCAAAATACCCAAAACTGCAAACGACCAAGAACCCAAAAATTGAACAGCAAATCGAAAACGAAGACAAAATGCAAACGACCTGGTAAAACTGCAAACGACCAAACACCCAAAACCTCTTGAAGGATTTAAAATTCGTGGTGATATTTTCGATTTGAAGAATAAGGGGAGAAATCGAATTCAAGATTTTTGCAATTGGAATTTCGGATTTGCAGTATAATAGGGAGAGAAATGGGGGATTTGATTTTGAAGATATATTTTACCGTATATTACTAGAGATATTGATAGGGGTACTTTTGACAAATTATAAATACAAAATTTGCTGGAAATTAGAGTTTATTAGATGGATTTTAACACATATAATCTCTTATAGGAGGACCTATAGCAAATTGCCCCAATTGCAAATTAAGAAAAAATAGTGGCAATACAATTTCACATGTAGAATATTCCCAAGTGGTTGCAAGGTTAATGTATTTGATGAATTCTACAAGGCCAGACTTGATTTATTCAGTAAGCGGGATTAGTAGATATACAAGTAATCATTGGCAAGCATTAGTAAAATTATTAAAATATCACAAATATACCATGGACTATAGTTTGAATTTTACAAAATATCCACCAGTAGTAAGGTTATATGTTAAATGGATTTTGGATAGCATGAAAACTAAGTCAACAAGTGGATATGTTTTTAGATTAGGTGTCAAGTGGTGAAACAGTCTCATGGAAGTCATGCAAACAAACGCCTATAGCATGTTCAACTATGGAATTAAAATTTGTAGCCTTGGATAAAGCGGCTGATAAAAGTTGTATGGCTTAGACACTTTTTAGAAGACTAGCAAGGTATACGTGCCTTACACGTGTATTATGATTTTTTCTAATATAATTTTATGTTTTTTCTTTTATATTTCCCAAGATACTTTTTTAATTGAGTTATTTACATAGAACCCATGTGTGATTTCGAAATAGCCAAAGAAACCAACGTATTGAAAAAAATTAGCAAGAATCTCCTACTGTTATTCTTTAAAAAGCACATTGCCCATTTTTCATATTTGACTGTTGACTTAGGTGAAATGACAAAATTACTCATAATTAAAAATAATGCAAGAATATGCCAACCCAAAAAAAAAGTGAAAGAAAAAAAAACAGAAAATAAAATAAAATAATAGTATTCTTTCATCTTTCACACCTACCCGCACCCCACATTTTCATCATCTTCACCGTCAACCAAACCCACCCACCAGCCACCACCATCCCGTCGCCAAACCCAAACCTAATAAAGACCTCAAATTGGAGGTTCACCGCCGCACATGTCGAATCACAGTGCTCAAATTGGAGATTGTTAGGAGTCCACCGGAATAGCACAAACTCTAAATTGGTATGATAATGTCTAATTTGGGTCAAACCCAGTAGGTTTTGCTCTAGGGTCTTTCCAAAAGTCCCATACCAATAGAGTTGATATTCCCTCCTTATAAAAGAGTGCTATTGTTCGTATTAAACCGATGTGGGACTATGCTTGCACCTCAACAGAGATTCACCGTCGCATACGTCGGAGCCACCCACCTAGATCTATTTCGTGTTGGCAACCTTCGAACAAGAGAAAAAATTTGTACAAACTTCCTCTTGAATCTTGAATTTAGGACCATGCATATGTTATATATCTGACAGAAGTAAAGGTCTTATATATCTTATTTTACTCGAAAATCGTGAATTTGTGCATCTATTTGAAATGGGAGGGTCATTTTATCCAATTTTAGGTTTGAGCCAATGAAGGTTTTATTATAGTTACCTCCAAACATCTATTTTTTTTTCTCAAAACGAAAAAAAAAGATCTATTGCTATCTTGCGTCACGCTTCGCGGTCACGTTGAGCAGCAATACTGCTATGCTACTGTGAGATAGTGGCAATTTGCAATCTGAAGCATGTCGAATAATTCCAACCATCTTATGATATACTTTTGAATTAATTAATGAAGTTATAAAACATAATTCAAAAAAATATAATACTGTATAACTTTACAAGGTTGGGTGTGGTCAAATATAAAATAATGTCGTGGAAATATTACTTATGTGAAATAAGGAAATTAAATCAGCATTCACATAGTGAGAAGAAGATTGGCATGTCTGTTTCTTTTCAAATGAAGCATTCTTATTTATAGAGTCGCTTTTTGCAGTGTCCCTTCAATCATACTTGACTCTCCAAATTCCTAAATTACTAATTCTAAATTAATTGACTCTCTAAATTTCTTTGCTAATTCCAATGTGAATAGGAGTCCGGTTATTTAAGGAATTAATTTCTAGATGCACCTCTTCCATGTACTAATTAATTTCTAAATGCACCCTTTCATCTACATGTATAATTTTATTTTATTTTTATCTATGAGGAAATTATTTTAATAACTTGATTTTTAGGGGTATTTTTGTACATACAAAAATGGAAGAAACTCCAACCATATTGGTACTTTTATAGATAGTATATATATATATAATATATATTTTACTGTGGCCAAAACCAGTGACTTCTATATGTATATATTGTGATAGTATGGTTGCTCTAACACGAGCCAAAAATAATATATACAATGGTATGTGCACATAAGATGAAAGACATATAACACATTTGGAATTATATCCATTAATTATGTAAAATCTAAGGAAAATATAGTTGATCATTTGATGAAAGGACTACCGAGACAGCAAATAAAGTTTACATCAAGTGATGGCTCATCAAGGCTTACCTACAGCTGATTGCTAAAGAAAGATTTTACAAAACGATTGTTGCCCTTTATGTAATATGCAGCCGAAAACGTGTGATCACTTTTTTAAAAGTTGTGAAGCTTTTTCTCATTTTTTTCGAAAAATCCATGTCATCACCATCAATGCGAATAATAACATTTGTATATTACTTCATCATATAAACAAGGCCAAATTTCATTGTTAATCCCTCAGCTATACATTTTGTCTCACTTTCATCCCTATTTTCTACAATGTATCGTACTAATCCTTTATGAATCAAAAGTATATCAAATTAGCCTTCTTCTAACAATCACGTTAACCCTATTGACGGAAACAAACTAAAAGAAAAACAATAATACTATAATTAAGGGTATTGTGGTAAAAACATAAAAAAGAAAAAGAAAAAGAAATCATCTATCCATTAATTTATCTGCCAAAATAACCACACGTGAGCCGTGGCACCCCACCCATCCACCACCCACTTGATTATTCAACTACCCCATTACCCCACACCCTTCCCCTACCAAAGTTCTTTTTACTGTTAGATACTAAGCTAAGGTGGTAAAAATGGCGGATTCAGTTCTGGTAGATTCAATGTGAAGACTACATATGGTATTTTCTGGCCAACCAATGATCTAAACACGAGACTGAACTCAAGTTTGGTTATAAAAATATTAAAATAATGGTGTATTTCGAATTTTTGCTATCTTTTTGTTTATCTATAAATTTGTCAAAAAAGAGTAAAGGCATCACAGTTGCACCATAGGATTTATCAATTAGAAGGGTTAGTGCGGAGTGAGATATTACATGAACGTTCTGCATATAAACATGAACAAATCAATAATTTTTTTTTTTTTTTGTCTGTAATTACACGGAAGATTGATAATTATAGATCTTGGTTATTTTCTTTAATATTTTTGTACTTAATCTTGTACATATTTTTACAGTAAGTACCAATGTGGCATTTTCTGTGACATTTGATAAACGTTTTCACTTTAATAATTAGAATTTAGCTTTAAAAAAAAATATACTAACATGCTGCCTGAAATGTCAGTGAGTAAAGCTTTTTATTCAAATTTAACTATCTCAAACATGTTTCTCTCTTCTCCAAAAATAAAGACGTCTCTCTAAAAAGTATCGCAATTAAGTCAGACAAAATAACATTCAAGTAGTTGCATAATAAACGAATTCAAGTAGTTGCATAATAAACAAACTGTTGCGCAATTTTTCTAGCTTCTTTGCTTCAATCTTTTGTTTTATTAGCGGTTATCTCGCTACTTTGGGATTGAGCATGTCCAAGAGAAGCTCTTGACCTTGCAGCACTTTGCAATGATTTCAAAGTGACAAATTGTTTTCCTTGCTTGCTAAAATCAGCTGCAATTGGGACTGCTCCAATTCTAGTAGTATTTTGAGTTGAACATGTTCCAGAAGTTGTACTTTGCATACTTGGGGCCACCTGAATTAGAAAATACTAATCATTTCTTTATGCTACAAAACAAAGATGTAACTAAAACTAAATTCTTGACTTACATGTTCTTGAGCTGATATATGTTTCTCATTTTCTAGTGGAATGTACTGGTGGTTCGGAGCGTAGAAGTCCATATTTCTCCAAATTTGTGCCGCTGATACATCACACTAGTTTCGCCTATGACCTTCCTTTAAACAAACACTGCATCTCATCTTTTTTTTTTTTGGTTTATTTGCTTGTATGCTAGCAACAACATTTTGTCCTACTGGCATTATATTCTCAACTTCTGATTGATTGACTTGTATATCACTTACACCATTATTTTCAACAGGAACTGTAGGAACATCTTTTCTTGATTGAGCGGAAGGATCAGTCTCACCCTCAATCTGTTGTTTTTTCTTTGAAGGGCATGTTCGCATGTTATGTCCATCTCGGCCACATTCCCTACAAGCTAATGTATTTTTTCCAGACCTTCTCAACTTTTTTACCTCTTTCATGCACTTAACACTTTCTCCAGGTGCTTTTCTTCATTTTCTTTTCGATCTGCCTGGTAGTGTAATTGCTCCAGGTGCATTGACAATTGGTTTATTGATTCGTGGCCAAAATTGAGGACTCTTCACCGGTTCTAAAATATTCTTGTATGTTGTTATGAACATTTCTTTTGAATAATATTTATGAACATAAGCCTCCGGATTCCTCCCTGATCCTGCAATGGCACACACCCCGTGGATACAAGGTATTCATGTTAAATCCCATCCTCTGCAAGAACATGTCTTTTCATTAATGTTAATAGCATATCTGCCACCAAACATGTCCCTCACTTCAAATTTTCCTCCTCCTGCATGTGAACTAATGCATATCCTAGATTGATCTTTAAGTTTTTCCAACTTACCTTGAATATTAGGACAAATTGAACAATCATATTTTTCGATGTACTCTCTTTTTGCTTGCAGTCTCTTTTGTAGATAAATTCTAATTGTCTCAACCATTCCAATTAGTGGCTTGATCCTAGCATCCAAGATAACTGAATTGAAAGTCTCTGAAAGATTGTTAAGAAGAAGATCACATTTAGGCGAGGTTCTAAAATATGACTTGGTCCAGTGAGTTAGATTAATCTCTGCCAACCATTTATATGCATGCTCATCAAGTTTCTTTAGCGCATCCATTTCAGCCTTAAACTGATTCACGTGTGTAGCTCTAGCAGCCCCCCACAACTTATCTTTGAGCGACAAACCATGATGCTCCTTCTTGAAGTTGTCATATATGTGTTTTACACGATATCTATGTTCAATACGTGGTAACAACTCATAGATAGCTGGCAAGAGTCCCTAAAAATTAAATAAAAAAGATTATTATTATAAATATACCATAATAGTAACGAAAAATAAAATTTGAGAAAGCAACAAACCTTTTGTCGATCTGATATAATAGTCCACTTTTCTTGCTCATATATGCCTATATCTTCAATCAACAACTCTACAAACCAAGTCCACGACCTTTTATGTTCATCTTCTGTCACACAATAGCAGATAGGGAACATGCCGTTGTTGGGATCTATTCCACACGCACTTAACCAAACTCCTTTGTGTGGCCTCGTCAAATGACACCCATCCACACTAACAATTGGCCTGCACCCTCGTTTCATCCCTTCTTTACATGCTGCAAAGCAGACATACAACCTTTCAAATATTTCTTCTCCACTTTTATCATCAATAAAAGTCTTCAAAACAACTGTTGGCCAATGATTTGTTTCTCTAATCTCAGCACAATAGTCATATAATCTTGTGTATTGGTCTTTGTATTGACCATAGAGTAACTCCGAGACCCTTTTTTTAGTTCTATATAACTGATTTCTACTTATCTCAACATTCATATCCCTATGAACTTTTTCTTGAAAGTCACTCATCTTCCATCCCGTGTTCATCCTCCAATCATCTAGATATCTTTCGCTCAATAGCTTAGAAGTCAGAAAGTTTTTCTTAGTCAATAACCTTGCACACTTGTGAATTTCATTCATAGTTCTTATTTGAAAACAACCATCTTTTCTTTTCCTAGAAGCAAGAATAATCCAGTTACAATTTTTTTCTCTGCATTTTGCTCTAACTCTAACCTTGTCAATTTTTACAAACTTGATGTTTCTCTGCCTGCATGAGATTTCACTGCTTCCTTAAACTCATTTGCATCAGTAAATAGAATTCCTACTCTAAACTATGGATCTTCCATGTCAACCTTCGGATTAAACCTTAGAAACTCAGGCATTTTAATACCATTTTCATCATCACTGCACAAACTCTGTAAATCATCTGACGAAAAATTATCTGATGACTCATTGACAGTGATCTCCTCATCCACGAATACAACTTGCTGTCCACTATCAATTTTCTTTCCTTTATTTGATTCTGACCATTGAACTTCATGATCAATATCTGGTGCAATGCGTATTTCTTCATTTTTATCTTGCTCATAATCACTATCAATGAATGTCTCATTCTCACCATCTAAATGCACCGAGTCAATATTAGTTCTTTGAATTCCTTTTTTCTCCTTAACCTACGAAATATCATTGACGTCATCGTGTTCCTCAAAATCTTCTAGTAGAAGATTAGAGAATGATTGGGTTGCAAAAACTTCAACTTCCCTTTAGTACTTCCCATATTCTGCCAAAGTAGTTACATCTTTTTCAGTAAGGATAAAAATTAATTCTTCATCACCATGACTTGGCATTTTGTAATAGAAACCTATGTACTCCAACCCCAACATTTCACTGATTCTATCCATAGTCTCCAAAGATATGTCATCAGCACAACAATTATCCATATAGTCGATTTTCCCTCCCGTATAAACTTTCTCCGGTTGTTCTACAAAGACTTCACCATGGTGAATTTTCATAGAAAAATATTGAAATCCTTCACCTATTTAGTATTCACAAAATAATTAATTTATCGTTTTACATAAAAATTAATGCATAATGTTGTATGAAAATTTTGAGGATGCCAATAAAATACCAACTTCTATAACAGTAAAACCAATCAATGTTACGTATTAAATAAGAATTCCTCCATAAATTTTACTCTCATATATGGTCCAAATATGATAATAACATTACATAATCAATATCATCATAGTATAAAATTATATGTCAATACTATATTTGTTACTCACCTGGCCAGACAATAAATAAACTGGAAAACTGAGCCAAAGAAAGAAAAAAATTGTCTACATTCTTTGAAATTTGTGTAGTAATCTTTGTTTAATATGAAAAGAAAACAAACAATAAGATTCCGTCATTAAGCAGATTTGATTTAGAATGCGACTTACACTGTGTGTGCGCCTCCTTTCCACGAACTTCCATTCTGCAATTGTTTAGAATTTTTTTACTTTTTTCTCGACACATAGAAGTTGTAATCTTTCTCATGGTCCAAAACCCTAGGTTAAAATATTTTACGTGACTTTATTTCAGAAGGAAAATTGTAAATATTTATCTTATTTGTTTTACCAGAAATACCCTTAAAATAAAAAACTTTCCACTTATTTTTTTGAAGTAAGTTCCGTTAGTAGCTAACGGAATAGTTACTAAAGGATGAATTTGAGATTATATTGCAAGGTGAGGGATGCAGTTGATGCAATTCAAAAATAAAGGATTAAAGTGAGACGAAATATATACTTAGGGCGTCTTTGGTTTCTTGGAACCAGCTGGATTCACTGATTAATCCGGACGGATCTCGCATTAGGTATTGTGGACAGCTATCCGAGATTGATCCGTGGCCCGGTTTTCTATCCGTGAATCGTGTGATTTTTCATCCTCCCAGTAGAGGTCCGACTAGATAATCTGACTATAATTCAGATTCTTTTGCCATTACAATTGACTTTTATACCCTTTGAAAATCCAATAATTTACATTCAAAAACCTGATATAAATACAATATTTCTCCCCCAAAATTATTTTTTCTTGCCCTAGTCTCGTAAGCTTTGCAGCAATTAGCACTGTAAGAATTTATTTCTTCGTTTTTTTCTAAAATTTGTTCGTTTGGAATTCAAAATGTAAGTACTGATTCGTTATTCATATGAATTAAAGCCAGGTAGGTGGAGTAGAGAAACATTGTATCATCTGCACTTCTGGATATTATCATCTTGGGGGAAGATATTTTGAAGGTTTGTGTAAATTATGTTTTGTAACCTAACCGACCCTCACTTGTTATTATAGGGCAGATCTTTTCACAGGTTAATCGATTTGTTTCGTTCATCGATTATTTGCAGTTCCCCACATTAAAAACTTTCCAGTAAAATCACATTTAAATTACATCTTTTATTTCCTATGTTTTCTGTGAAATTAGTAGATGTAATTATTGCTGTAATTATATGTATTTATAGATTTTTTATGTTTTATAATTTGAGGGTTATTGAAGGAATATTGATTTTCAACCCCCTGTGTTCGAATCGTCCTCTACTCGTTTAGAAAGGTTAGTACCCTTTTGTTGGACTCTCCCGTATTTTTATAGATTTGTACTGTGTGTTACTTGTTTAGGTGCACATGTTAATAGTCTATTTCAATGATTCGTCATTTTTTCAAACTTCAATTTAATGAGCCCTTGAAGTTATCTTGATAACTACTGTTATGCTTATGGGCAAAACTAGTTGGCAAATTTGATTGGGTTGTGATCAGTTGTTCTCTTTATGTAATTGATCAGTTGTCTTATCTTGTTGGATGGAGTGACGCTGTTTGCCGCCAAAATTTACGAATGAACACCGATACATTTTCTCGATTGTGTTATCTTCTTGAAAATGTTGGTGGTCTAGTTGAGCAAGTTGCTTTGTTCTTGCATGTTCTATCACATCACAAAAAAATGTCATCATTCAAACAAATTATAGGAGGTCAGGTTACACAATTAGTATTCATTTTTCTCGTGTGTTGCACGCACTGTTAAAATTGCACAATGTAATGCTTGTTGCACCGGAGCCCGTTGTTGTGGATTGCGATCATGCGCGTTGGAAATATTTTCAGGTAGGTTTGCTGCAAATAAATACATGTGAATTAAACCAATCAACAAGTTTATTTTATTTAACGCATTAATTTGTCATTTTGTTAAGGGTGTTTAGGTGCATTAGATGGGTCATATGTTCCTGCTAGGGTACCACTAGTTGATAAGCCACGTTATAGAAATCGAAATGGTACGGTTTCGATAAACGTTCTTGTTGTGTGTGATGTAAACTTGAATTTTGTTTACCTGTTGAGTGGTTGGGAAGGCTCTGCTGTTACTAGATCCGACTGTCTTCGTGTTCCAAATGGTACGAAATATCAATTCATAATTTATAATGTTATACAGTTGGACAAAAAAAAAACCCGTAAACTGAATGCAATTTATTTCTAACTTTTCCAGGGCATTATTATTTGGTCAATAACGGATACACGAATGGGCCTGGATTTCTAGCACCGTATAGGGATACTAGGTATCATCTCCAAGAATTTGGTGTGGGTAGAAATGTGGTACGAAATTACAAAAAATATTTTAATCTGAAACATGCGAAAGTACGAAATGTAATAGAGCAAGCATTTGGCATATTAAAATCTAGATTGGGAATACTAAGAAGTTCGTCCTACTACCCGATTAAAATCCAAAGTCGAATAATTATGGCGTGTTGTCTTTTACACAACTTCATTCGCACGACAACGATCATGACCCTGAGGAAGACGAGGTCCCCGAAGAAATTATTACACCAATAGATCGTAACCAGTACGGTTTTGTCCAAACTGTTGAGCCATCCCAAGAGTGGACTACTTGGCGCGATACAATAGCAAATAATATGTACAATGCACGGTTAAGAGGGTTAGCTTGAATAGCGGGTGGGGCGAGAATGTTTGTAGATCTTCCCATTTGGAGTCACCGTATGTATGGTAAGCCCAAGCAAACGTGTGATCCTACATTTTCCCGAAAGTTTTTTGGGGTGAGTGAACAAAAAAAAACCATAGTATTTCGTTTGGACAAATTTCTAAAAAAATGAGAATTAATACCTTCAAAATTTGTTTCCATACATCATCCCCTGCGGTTACAACGTTAGTAGCTTGATCCCACTCCGCCCCCGGTAGAGTTAACATCCAACCAAATGTATCGTACCTCATTTCGAGAATGGTTAACTTCTTAAGAAAATATTTTGGAGAGAAGTGTATGCCGTGTTTTTTTTGGATAACGTTTTTTGCCATTCGGATGGAATCTCTCATTTTTTTTTCCAACAATGAAATCCCCCAGACGAGCTTGGTAGGACAAAACTTGAATGAAGGTATCATCCACCTTCTCATCCCAATCTAACTCATACATGAAATCAGCTTGGGAGAAGATGATGGATTTTTGGCAGCCATACAATGATATGGGGAGGAGGAATGCAGAAGCAAATTGTATATGTTTGTGGCTTGGGAAAGTCATTTGAAGTTCATCTATGTATAGGCAAGAATGGGGTACTGTACTGCATTTTCTTCCCAATAACAATGATGATTTTTATGAAATATCTTACTTTGCGTGGGAATATATCATTAGGCAACAAAAAAGAATATTGTGGTACAGAAAAAGCACAATATTCTCTACATAGTCACTGTAATTACAGAATGACTAAACTAGATAATAATATTCATTTGAAATTTGCCATATTAAAAGCATAATCATAAAAATAGATAATAATTTATTTACTTTCAATAATAAAAACATACAATAAGAGAAATACAACTTTTTGTTGTTTTACTACACCATAGATAAACGAGTAGTAGATCATAACAAAAAACAAGAAAATCATTACAACTACACAACAATTAATTATACTACAATGTATACAACACCACCAACATGAGGAAAAGTAAGATTAGAGCAAGTGAAGAACATATAGCAATCGTTCTGTAGAATTTCGTTTTGCTGGATTCAAGATCCAGCTGCAATTTCAACCCTTCAATTCTTTCCTTCAATGCGTAAATAACGCCACTGGAATTTTCACAAAATTCGTCGTTAACCCATCTAAAGAACTTGCATTTTATATCCTGTAGGATATTATAATTTTATAAAAAAAAATTGAGCAATTAAAATATGACTTTTACTTTTAAATGAATAACTGATATAAATAATTAATTTAACAATGAATATGGAAAATTGACCAACTAAATTACCCTCCTTCGTTCCGGACATGAAACAAACCGACGACCTGGATTGGCACTCGTCGACGACGTATTTACACTTCAACCCACAGTAGCAAAATAGTGGCTCTGCTTCATCAAAATGACGACCACAACCTGTAGAACCGCTTCCACGTGCCCTCGCACCTGAAGAATTGCTGCTACTCATGGCGAGATGGTGAACAATACGGTCAATACGAACTATTGGAACAAACAATCGATGTGATTTTCAGAGAGCAAATCGTATGCCACACGATCGAGAAAAGATGAATGAGTTAGGGTAAGTTTTTTTTTTATTTGGGGAAAAATCAATGCGTATGGGTTTTTTTTTAAGAAGTGGCCCCTGCAAAAATAAAGAAATTTCAGAATATTTTAAATGGCCCCAAGGGGGCAATTTTATAATTTCACACAAAATCCGGAATCAATCAAACAAAACTAATGCAAGATTGATAAGGGATGCCACAATCCAAATGTTCAAATCAAAGATACCAAACCTGAGCTATATACCAAGTTACCTTTTCCAAACAGTGTAATCTGACCAAAATAGTCCAATCCCACCAAAATCCTTCATAGAAACCAAAACAGCCCTTGAGGGATTACTAATTATATTTGGCCTTTAGACAAATATTCGTTTTTAAAGGTACAAATTGTCACTTTTTACTGCAGGGCCGGTCCTATGTCTTTGGAGGCCCTATGCAAGCATGAGAAAAGGGGCCTCGTGTTCTTCAATTTTTTAAGTTTTTCTCTATCGAAGATTAATATAACTCGTCCATCATTTTTCCTACACGTGTTTATTGAACTAACAAAACTAGAAAAAGAAAATGACATTAGATAGTCCAAAAATAAATGTAAACTATGAGTAATTTCAGTAAAGCGAAGAAAAAAATGTTTTCAATATAAATATTTACATTAATAAAGGAGTTGCGGACAAAATTCATAAATTTTAAGTGAAAGAAATATTCATTTAAGGGCTCTTAAGATATAAGTCCCTGGTGACAAACCTTATTAGAACTAAATGACAACTCTAATTAAAATTTGCTTCACATCCTTTATGAAATTTATTCCAAAAATGCCCCTCTACTCACAAATTCGAAATTATAGCATTGTAAATATACTATGATGAACTATGGTCTTATTTAATATTTTTAAATTTACATCTAGCATTTTTTTTTTCATTTTTACGTGTTTTTTCTTTTTCTTTTTTAATTTTTCATATTTTTCAATTATATAAAAATCTATTTTTTCCCCTTCTTTTCTACATAAATTGAAAATTATGGTTTTTTTAATTTTTTTTTTCCGTAGTAGACATCTACAAAAACTTCATAGGAAACGTAGTAATCCATAGACACCCACAGACATCTTGAGACCCTAGCCATGAAACCCTAGCCGCCAGATACCGTAGACACCCAAAGACACTCATAGACATCTGTAGACATCCAAATCGAAAAATATTAAATTTTCCCCACCAAACCCTAGATCCGATCCGCTGCCACCACCACCACCACTACTCCCCCCTCTCCCTCCCCCACAACCAGACCCACCTCACGACTCATTTGTAATGGTTGCAAACAAAAACGAGCCTGCCATCTTCTACCCAGTGCCACAAAGCCTCCAGATGCAACTCCTACATCACGTGCCGCCATAGTCGCTGCCATAGCTGCCTCCATAGCCACCGTCGCCACCATAACCACCTTGAGAGCCTCTATATTGTTCCACTATAATTGAAGAGAAAAAGAAAAGAGGGAGGAGGACGTGAGAGAGAGAGAGAGAGAGAGAGAGAGAGAGAGAGAGAGAGAGAGAGAGAGAGAGAGAGAGAGAGAGAGAGAGAGAGAGAGAGAGAGAGAGAGAGAGAGAGAGAGAGAGAGAGAGAGAGGGAGAAACCAGAAAGTGAGAGGGAGAGAACGTGCGGCGTGAGGGAGAGGGGAAGAGAGAGAGAAATAAATCAGAAAAAAAAAGACGTGACTTTTATTAGGTATTGTAAGGGTATTTTTGAGTTATTTAAAAATCAAAAGATGTGTATCAATTTTTATTTTGAAATAGGGATATAGTTAAAATATTCTATTTGAGTTTGTCACTTATATCAATTTAAGTTTGGTTTGAGGGGTGTGGGGCATATTACCCCTTTATTTAAAGACTTTTTTATTCGAGGTGGATAAAAATCATAAACCCATCATAATTGGAAAAATATATATATTTTTTTAATTAGAGGTAGGTGGCTAGAACTACACATGCAACCACATAACTTTTTAAGTTATTTTGCATCTAATTAAATATTATATACATATATAAAAAAAAATTGGGGCCCCTTAGGAATTGGGGTCGGGCCTGCTTTACTGGCTAATGTGGAAAGCAAGAAACGAGTATGTGTTCTCCAATAAGCCAATATTGATGGAACATCAAAATCTAATAATAAAGTAGAAATGTGGGCTTCTTTCGAAGGGATCAAAATGGCATGAGCACTTGATATCAAAAAAATTCTTATTGAATTTTTTGATTCTATGTTTTTTATCCTTTGTGTGAGTAGGCAAGAAGCAGCGCACAAGGATATTATCGGTCTCCTTGAGGGATCTTTGAAGATGTTGACCGACTTCGATGCACTTACTCGATAGTTTGGTTACCGAGAGATCAATGAAGCTGCGGATACTTTGGGAAACTAGGTTAATTTTTTGGATAAAATAAAATGAGATGCTTTGCTGCGTGTCGGTCTAGTCCGTTACAACCATAATGGAATAACTTATCGGATGGATTATTCGGTTAGGAACTCTAACAATGTTTCAGGGGTCATTATAATTAATGATATCACACGGACCTTAAAGTTATTTTAGCATACGGAAAGTAGACGTAATTTACCCTTTTTCCTTATTTATTTAGGAAATAGGTCTCAAATCATTAAAAAAAAAAAAAACAGGAAATAAGAAGTGCTTGCTGAAAAGTATACAATTTCCTGATGAACTGTTGACTGTGTGCGTTGACTGCCCATCTCTCCTTTCTTCTATTGAAGAACAAGTTAGAGAGAGAAAAAAAAGGTCTACCTTTCAAGCGCAAATGACTCCATCCAACACAAAACTCAGGTAAGTACTTCAAATTCATTCTGATTTCCTTTTTATTTTTATTTCTTTTTTGTAATTGAAATTGGAATATATATATAAGCATCGTTTGGGCGGGAAATCAGTTCGCATTTATTGCGACTGTTCGTTCAGAAAAAAAAAAAAACAATAACCGCATTTCACACCACGAAACACGTACAGATCAAAGCGGTGCTCTCGAAGAAATGGAGGAAGACGACGGCGACGTACGGCACCAAAAGCCCTCGCCGGAGGAAAACACCGTCCGCGTAGCGAAGGAGATGCCTTTTACCTTCGGAAAGTTCACCGTTCGAGAGAGTTGGGACTTTTTCTTCGCCAGTAGAAGCGGCGATGATTTCTGCGAGTGGTACTCCGATTGGCCGCGAATACGGACGCTACTCACAGCGCATCTCTTATTCCCGTCGTGGAAAGTGCCCCCTCCGCCGGAGAATGTGCGGATTTTGGTGCCGGCGTGTGGGGACTCAAGGCTGTCGGAGCATCTCTACGATGATGGATTTACGGATATCACGAATGTCGATTTCTCGAAGGTGCTTATTTCGGCCATGTTAAAGAGGAACATCAGAGAACGGCCGCTCATGAAGTGGCGCGTTATGGACATAACCAATATGACGGTATTTTTTTTTTAATTTTTTTTTTAATTTTTTTGCATATTGAAACTGGTTTTGTTTGATTATAAGAATTCACTTCGGAAATGGATTTCGGTTGATTAGGAATTTCCATAGTTCCCAGCTAACATGTCTAGATAAGGTGGGGATCTTTGAAGTATTTGTTTTAATTAGCAGAATCGAGATTGTGGTCGTGATATTTGGGGAGTTTATGATATTTATGCAGTTGTATCAGCTGGTTTCGTAGTGCAGAATAAGTCTGGGCTTTATTTATAGTAATGTGTTTCCGTAGTGCCTGTGTCTAATGAATTGATTTATGTAATTAGCTTGTACTATTCTGCAGTTTCTGTCTTCTAAATCTATATATGTTGCGTTCCATCTCATTCTCTGATGGCATTAGACATGTATAAATGGGAGACTAGGTTGGCAGTGGTTAAGGGGTAACAGGTAAGTCAGGGGATTTTTGGCCTGGCACACGGTTAGTCGGAAAGCAGAATCTTAATTAGTAAAAAACATATTTATTTGAAGTTTAGCTAGTTATGGTCCGTTGTGTACACCGAGACAAATGCATGAATAGCAATCTAACCAAGGAAAAAGTAAGTGCCTATACAAGTGCAAGCAAGGGTTGCCTCTGTGATTGAGTTACGAACAATGTAAATGTGATGGATATTGGCACTATTAAAATGTAGACAGGACCTAACTGATTCACATGCACTTAGTTGCACGAGTGCGGTCAGTGAGTTGAAATATGTAGTGTTTGGTGTTTTGTTCTATTGGCTAAACTTGTAGTCATCTTGCAGATGTGGCATAGCTGCACACGTATAATTTTCTGCCTTGATTTTTCTTCCTATATGTAATGAAATGGTATTGGATCCAGTTTCCAAGTGGGACCTTTGATGCCATCGTTGACAAGGGAGGATTGGATGTTCTGGTGGAACCTGAGTCTTCCCCCAGATTAGGAACACTATACCTATCTGAGGTTTATGAATACTCTTATTTGATAACGTTACAATGTTTTTTGATATTGTTACTTTTTATGGTACAACGATTTGTCTTGTTATAACAGGTTAAAAGACTGTTAAAAGCTGGAGGCAAATATATTTTTTTCACCTTGCCAGAATCTGTTGTATTAGGTATCGTTCCTTTGATTAGATTGAATTGGTGAATATCATTACGCAGTATTTCCACGCCTACTGTTTTTATTCTTTTGGCGAATGTAAGGAGAGGAGTTGATCTTTACTTGCTATCTCGTTTTCTGTTCTACTTTTACATTTTTACGCAGTGTTTGGATTTGATGTTCTTTTCAACCATATGAATTTTTCAGGTCTACTTTTTTCAAAGTTTCGGTTTGGGTGGAAAATCAATCTTTACGGCATCGCTCAGACCAAACTGCAGACCATTATGGTGGTTGCTGAGAAAGATACTTCAACTAGTGTCTCCAATATATTATCATCCATGGATGAATATTCTTCTGTACAATGCCAGGTGAGAACACTTTCACATTTTCTTTAAACGAAGGAAACTACTTCAATATCATACGGACAATATTTTTTGGATTATTATCAATTCTGGAATGCAATTTGAATATTGTTTTGGTCTAAAAAATCTGGACTGGACTTACTTCTTGAACATGTTATAGGCACTTGTTAGAGCAGTTGAAAGAGAAAATTTGGTTCGTACAGAATACTCCAATGGCATTGATGTATGGCACTCACTTGAAGACCTGAAGCTAGGTGTGAGAGGAGATATTAAAGTGCTTGAAACTGACCGTATTGTAAGGATTGTTTTTGGTGAACCTGGAGAATCCCGTTTCTTCTATACCGCTGTACTTATTGACACTAATCAAGAATCTGGAACTTTCACCGATGGCTTATGTATATATTTTTTTGAGAAAGTTAGTTCCTTCCTTTTCGGTAATTCTTCACTTGTCATTTTATTTAAAGTTTGAGATTCTGTTACTGTCCAGCTGAGGAAAGTTTGAAGATAGATATACTTAACATGCTTAAGAGGTTTTACGTTACAAGTAGTTCATCAAATATCAACATTCTATTATGAAAAAAGTTCCGCTTGCAAAACCTTTGCTAGAAAAGTAGTCCCCCTCGAAGTTAGAGTTACTACGAAATATTCAATTATTACATATCTTAAAGGTTAAAAATTGGTGTAAAATGATCAATCAACATAGGTTTCCGCTTACTATTAGCGTATTATGTTATTGGATTTGTTTTCGCCTTTCTGTCTAACCGTTACGTGATTAATTTTGGATTTCAGACGCGAGCTTCTGAGCGAGTCCTCTCATCGGAATGGCAGCTACGGACGACTGCTAACAACGCAAAGGCTGCTCGAATGTTGATTGTAATTCTTTCAAGCCACTGACAAATTTAATCTACTTTCTTCCAATATCATTTTTCACTCAAGGCACTATACATACTGATTGATTTTACTAGGTTATACTGGATTCAAGCCATGCTCATGTTTGCTTGCATGATGCCATGGTAATATTCAACTTTATTTTTCTATTTGTGAGCTGTAAATTGATGGTTCCTTAAATTTGGGTTTTTTCTTTTTCAGGAAGATATCTATGGTTTTATCAGTGAACTGTCCCCAGGAGGATATGGTGATCAAGTTAGTGTTTCGTAAGTATCTTATCAGCATCTACTTATTCCTCAGTAGGATATATTTTTGGCTAAGAAACTCCGCTCAGATAATGCTTTTAGCTCTTCAATTCACACCAGAATTTTCAGACTATATATGAATTTTTTATTACCACGTCGCCGTTGGCATATATTTTGTTTAGATACTAGATTTCCTCAGTTGGCCAATCGGCCACATCCTTATGTGCAATTTATGGTTAAAATATTATTGACAAGTTTTGTTACTTGAACGGTATAACATCTTTGTCTCGGGTAAAAGAGTTGTCAATTTACCAAGATAGGTAACCTATAGGTGAAATAGTTCTGAGTAAGAAATAGGTAAAGGAGTGCCTTCATTGCAGTTGAGATATCGGACTTGTATTTGGCTGCATCTTAGTTATGATGTTTAAGATATTCGAATGACTCTACATATATTTGCGTCTTGGCTTAACAGAGTTTATCAAATGGGTTTTTTGTAGAATTACGCCTGCAGGTGATGGAATGAAGGAGACGAAAATTGTGCACCAGGTTCGTGAACTACTGTTTCTTACTTCATTTTACGAGATGTCTGTAATATAGCTTTAAAATTTGATGTGCTCATTGGTCGTTGTGCAGACTAATATGTTTAGTTCAGACATAAACTGTTGCTATGTGTTTTCTTTTAAGATCTTTCTTTATTTTGGTTCATTTACAGGTTACATCTGCCATGACTGGTCCAATAGTTGTAGACGACGTGATTTACACCCCCGGAGCGGAGGAAGTTGCTTTTAATCTTCAATGCTTACCTAAGGAGTTCAATTTACGCCGCCTTTCTTTTAAAAGAACTGATAGTTTGGTGCATTCTGTAGCTCTTTTATCCACACAAGGACCAAATGAGATTTCAAGTGAAGTTGACACAAAGAATACGCGGAAAACCTCCAAAGCAAAATCGAGAAAGTTTGACTCTCGCTCATCTGATTCTCATCGTGAAGGTCTGACATCTATTTCATTGTTTGTTAAATTTCAATGAAATCAGATATCTTGGCTTGGATTCCAATATTTTCAGATATAATTTTACATGCAATTGGAAACGGAAAATTGTTCAATTGTGTTTTTGAATTTTACTAATAGGATCAGTGCCTGATAGACCTTATGTTCATCATCCCCACTCTATGGAATTCTCGTAGACAAATTTGGTTAAGTGTTTCTTACTGTCAGTTACAGGCTATATAAATTCTGTGCAAAATTTAGTTATTTTCGATTAATGGGTGCAATAGGTTCTATAGACCTTCAAGAATATGAGGGTTAGGCCATGTTGAATTCGAAATTATAGGTTGAAGTGAGAAACCTTGTGGTACTAGTGTTATTTACGGCTGAGAGATAAAAGTAGGAACAATTGTTCACCTTAATTAACTATATTGTACGGTCTTCTTGATCTTGTATGGGGCAGCATCAAGTGGTGAAACTAAAGTCGATCACAAAGTTTTGGCAAGTTTCTTCCACACTCACTCTATTGCTGGACTAGTGTTGTTTTCTCTTTATTCACAACTACATTGCCAAACTGGTGGATTGGTGAGCCATCTACTTACTCTTTAAAGTCCCTTTTTTTTTTAAAAAAAAAAAAGAAAAAAAGAAAAAAATTGAATTATTTCAATTGTGCAAGAGGATAATATTGCAACATGGTTCTATTTTTCGTATGACCTATTTTACCTCTAAAAATTGATATTGCATTTAGGTCACGGCTTCAGTTTTCGAAATGATGCTTCGAATAAAAAATCCCCCTCTTTTACAGGTCAAAATAGTGGTCATTGGTCTTGGAGCAGGATTACTTCCTATGTTTATGAGGAACTGCCTACCTTCTCTACATATTGAGGTGAATCGGTTGGGTTCTTCCAATATCAATAGGATAATGAAGTTTTAGATATAACTAACTGTCTTGTCCTTATTTATTTTTAAATTTTGCAGGTCGTTGAGATTGATCCCGTGGTTCTGAATATTGCTAGAGATTATTTTGGTTTTAGAGAAGACGAACACTTGAAGGTAATATTCTGCCTTCTGCCATTTTCACTAACTAAATAGAGTTTAGAGTTTGCAAAAAAAAAAAAAAAAAAAAAAAAGTGTGTTTCATTTGGCTTAATGTTTTTAAAAACTTTCGTTTACGATCTCCACTTTTCATTTGTTGTTCTGCTTAGTTATTGCTTTATGCCATGCGCGTAGGACCTCAAGTTTAATAGTAAACAATAAAAAGAAATAACTCTTAACAGAATAAGTTTGCAGTGCCATAGTTTTCAGGTTAGGAAAACGGAATAATAGTCAATATATTAGTATTTTGTCAAATACTCGTTTCATATTGAACAAGAAGATAACAACTGATTAATTATATGATGCTCAAACATTAGTTGGCCATTTAAAATTGATATCTACAGATGCTTACAGTCATATTTTAAGTTCCATCTATTCAGGTACATATTGCCGATGCAATGAAGTTTGTCTCCAACAAAGCAACTTCTAAGGCAGGTAAAGTACAAGAATATAACCAAGATCACATGCTCAAGAAGAAGTATTAATGCATGCACTTTATGGATTTCATGCAGAAGGAAAAGACTCGTTAAAAATTGACGTACTTATAATTGACGTGGACTCATCAGACACGAGGTAATAATCATTTCAATTTTCATCATCTTTTATACTGTTGCTACAAAGTTTTGATTCGTTTCACTTGAAACTCTTATTATGCAGTTCCGGTTTAGTCTGTCCAGACGCAGATTTTGTTGAGGAGACCTTTTTCTTGACTGTAAAAGAGTCGCTTTCTGAGAATGGTATATTCATCTTTAATTTGGTCTCAAGGTTCCCGGGTGTTCGGGGTGCAATACATTCAAGATTGAAAAAGGTACTCTTACACACACACTCTCTCTCTCTCTCTCTCTCTCTCTCTCTCTCTCTCTCTCTCTCTCTCTCTCTCTCTCTCTCTCTCTCTCTCTCTCTCTCTCTCTCTCTCTCTCTCTCTCTCTCTCTCTCTCTCAGCATGGCATTCTTTTTTATACATAAATTTTGCAGGTATTTAGAAACCTCTACCACTACTGGAGCGAAATAGATTTCAATGAAGTGATTTATGCCCTCAAGAGTGACGCTCCAGTTGACAAGGATCAGCTTTCGGAAGCTTGTGATTCACTTGCAATATCTTTACAGTATAAAAATCAGCACAGGTTTCGTGAAATCATAAGGGACTCGAAATTGATCGAGCCACTAATATGATCAAGAAGCCAAGTTTTATTGCTGAAAAATTTCGTCACGTTTTCGGGTTTAAATAATGCAAATACAGCTCTGAGAATCTTGAATTGACAAATTTACTGACCAGTTTAAGTGATCTATCGGTTGGCATATATGCTTTCGATCGTTAGATTTGTGAAAGTAGTACATATTGTTGTTAGCCTTGTATATTTGAGCAGCTTGTATATGATTGTTTCAGGTTCACAATAGATTTGCATTTTTATGCATTTGTTGTCAAAGTGTTACAATTGAAGATTCAATTCATCAACTTGTTTGGAGTTGTCTCTAATTTTTTAATTGAATCTTTTGAGAAATTTGAGTTTACATAACTCTTATGGATATTTTACGACATACTGCAATTTTATACGAGATTCAAAATTTATCTTGGTTTTTTTTATTAAAAATAAATTTTACCATCTTCCTTGTACTAAAATAAAATAAATAAAAATAAGAGACATGATATATTCACACTCAAATCATCTCATTTTACCGAATTATATGTAATATTATGATTTAATTTTAATTATTCAAAAAAACCACTTGCATTCCCTATTTTACCCTTTTCGTGTTTGTATAATATAATCAAGGCGGCGGCTATTCGGAATCCCACAAATTGCTTAAGGGAAGGCCAAATTTAATTATTTTTATCAAAAGATATTATACCCTTAGGCCTCGTTTGGTTGGCAAGATAAGATTAGTCAAGATAAGATTAAATAATCTAATGAGACCCAATTATTTTATTGGAGCTTGAAAGGTGCAACAAAAAAAACTCATTAAAAGGCAAGATAAGGCAAGATAAGGCAAGATAAGCCATAATTATATAATTTTGGCGGGTCGACCTGGCAAGTTATTGAGGATACCATACATCAAATTAAGTCCAACTATTTAGTTAATCATGGCTTATCTTGGCAACCAAACGGGGCCTTACTATAATTAAAAGAAAACCCACAAGCATCAAAAATACCAAATTCCTTTGTGCAAGACCACACCAACAAAATCCCTCTCTCCTTGATAACCACATTACACACGTATTCTTTAAAAAAAAAACTATATCCAACTTCAAACAATCTCAAAACCCAAAATCCTCAAATCGCATTAAAACTTGCAAAAGAGGATATTATGGAGTCACAGAACATCAATATGGGGGATTTTAGGGATGAAGAACACAATGAGGTATAAAATATTGTACTTTTTTTTAGCTATGAGATCGTTTTTCTCATTTTTACAAAAAAATAATCGTGGTCAAAATTTCGACGAGTAAAATGTCGATTTTCTCTCACAAAAATTGATTATCCAGTGTCGAAAAATTGTGGAAAAATTAATAATGTATTTTTCTCACAAAAATCGACATTAGTGTGTCGAATTGTATGTGTTACAACGTTTTAAATAAATTCCCCATGTTTCTTTCATATAATTGTACCTAGCGCGTTAGTGGAGTTAATGTGAGTATGTAACTAGCTTTAGAATATGGAAATGAATTTACCAACTATGACGAGTTGCAACGACAATTTAGTCATATGGGTGCACGAGGTTGGTAAATGACTAGGAATGATAATAATAGCGAAGTCTTCAAACCCAGGGAACAATAGATGTAGAAGACCATATGTTACTTGCATGCGAGTGTGCGGGTGTGTATCGTGGCAAATAAGTACCCGGTCAAGATGACAAAGAAAAAAACAAGCAAACTCAAGGAAATGTTGGTGTTCGTTTGAGTTGAAGGGCACAAAATTAGGGATGGGTGATGAAGAAGTTGAGTGGATGTTAGGAGTCATACGTGGTCCTCACAGCCACTCAGATTTAAAACGAAAAAAAAAAAATCAATTTTCCCTAAAAAAATAAGGACATTGTGGTGAATGGTGAGAAAGTTCGAAATTGCATTATTAATCCACAAAACGGGTCTACTACGACAACTTAATTAGTAATACATTGAGAGGAAACATAGAAATAAAAAATATAAAAGGCGACACATCGAACATTACGCAACTAGTTTGCAAGAGTTCTTGTTATGGTGTCCCACCCCCCTACATCTGCGACACCTAATAGTACGGGGGACCAATTCGCCCCTACTTGGAATCCTTTTCCTCTTCGGCCTCCCGCGCTGAGTTCGATGTTCACGTGGGCCTATGAGTGCAGCTACATCATCTGTCGTCGGCTTCACAAACGGAAATATGGTCAGGGAATAACATTGGATGAATGTCGATTTATAAAAACAGTGATCGACGTGTTGGTACGCGCCACCCATATAGTGAAAGATTATAACTGCAGCATGCACACACGGTATACCATTTATTTTACCACATTCTGCAAGAGCATGTTCCCGAGCGAACATCAACAACAACATTCGGGTTAGAAAAAAGCTCCCTCCCACACATAATCGGACGACGTCTTCACCTGCCAAGATCTGCCTTTATCAACCAACAACCTCATCTTTTTATCAAAGGTGTCGCACAATAAAGTTGGCCAATCATACCCCTCACCTAGTCTATGTGACATCTGCGCCATCACCAATATACAAATACCATCAATTAAATTCATTATTTGAAGTAATCTTCCCATCCTAATTTGTGAATTCCACGATTCACAACCATTTGACGTCATCTGGTCATACCGTTGTCCCACGAAATATGCGTTGGACCACTTATATTTAGGGGCATCTAACAGAAATTTACAAACTTTGTGTCCTCCCGTTGCTCGCAACATATGCGCAATATTCAAACTATTTGAGAATTGTGTTCCGATGATTCTTAGTAGCACCCCTAAATTTATCTTTGAGATTCAATGTTAAATGTTTATAACAATATCCATGCACACAATACGGGAACACATTCTTGACACCTTGAAGAATGTAGTGGTGTCTGTTGGAAACGAAGGCTAGCGTTCCGTCCGTCCTTATTGCAACATTAAAATGTTTTAAAAACCAATCGCAGTTGTCGTTAGTCTCTTCGTTAACAATTGCAAATGCGATCGGGAATATACCTGCAAGTGAATTACATGAAATGATAGTATTTTTATGATAATCTTTTTAATAAAGAACGATGACAAAATCAATGAAAACTACCTTCGTCACCATCCTTTCCCACAATACTTAGTAGTATTCTTTCATCCTTGCCCTTAAAAAACGTACTATCAATCATAACAACTGGACGGCACAGTTTGAAGCCCTCCAAGCAAGAAGCAAATGAAAAAAAACATCGGCGAAAGATAATTTTGACCTCATCAACTTCAAGATGGAAAGCACTTCCTAGATTTGCACGCTGCGTTTCTCGAAAATACGCGGGGAGGTACGAATACGAAAGCCCATGATCGCCACAAATCTTGTCCCTCCCGCCATCGGTTGATCTCCACGACACATAGTATGTTATGTCAAGCCCATAATTTTCTTTTATCTGTGCTTGAATTTGACGACGAGTATTGGACGGCATCGTTCGGATATAACCATCGATGAGTTCCATGATTACATCTGAACTAACGCGCTTCTTACTAGCAGTGCCGAAAAACATGCCACATCTATGGTTGTTGTTGTACTTACGAATGTATAAGTAATTATTAGACTTGTCTACAGACGCATGTATCCTCCACGGGCATTGCTTTTCATCCTTAAATCGACATTCAACCGCAACCCTGGATGTCTCATTCTTCAAATACACGTATTCAGACCCAATCTCCACCGAAAACATCACAAGCGACTTCCTAAACTCATTAGCACCACCAGCAAATTCTTGGCGTTCATGTTTAATTGATTAAGTTAGCCCATTCCGCATACAACAATCTCTTGCCGTTACCTGGTGATACGTTTACAATGTTTTGATGTTCGCTAACGACGGCAGCCTTATCGTATTCGACCAATGTTACGATCGGCTCCACATGTTGCGTTTGGATACGATCAACTGGAATGGCATCCACAATTTCCTGTTTCTTTACGGTTACCTCGACACGACCAACACCAATCTCACGCATGATGAACAACATTGAGGTCAAATTATCGTCGTTCGCAAGGATGCAGTCGTCATACACGTCGAACTTATAAGACAACGTGAAGTTACGTCCATTGATCGCGTCCCACTTTAACCAAACATACTTTATCAGCGAAAAAAAAAACCATGCGATCAGACCATCACTTTATTGCAACAATCCCTCGAAATCTCAACACAAGGGTCACATTGAAATTCATGTAACTGCACAAATAATAACAGAGTAAAGGATTGAAAAAAACAATTCATGTTATTAACAAGGGAAAAAAACAGATTACCGCGGATGTGTTGATGGGAAATTACAGTATAAATCTGACATGTGCGAAAATAATACTTAAAACAGACATGTAACTTCGAAAACCGGCATGATGGGAAAACCACTGTATAATTTGAAAAATCAATCCACTGGTTGCTAACAACAACATAACAATGGAGGAAAAAAAAACATGTGCATCCATATTAATATTATTTAGAACAGTGATCAAACCACGGCTAGTATGAACTTACACATATTGCGTAAAGCCACGAAAACCCCTCTGTATTTTCTTTAGTCGCCTTTCCTGCTCATGCAATCAGATCACAAATTATTGGTGTAAAAATACTCATTACGTTGAAATGGTTCTCTATAATCAAGAGACGGGATCATGTGATTATTTGAGAAGGTGCTGTTAAGACATAAACGGAAAAGATATTACTGTTGTAAATAATATGGAAAAGTGGGTCTTCCTATCCTAACACATGAGAGGTTGTAACCTCCATATTCCACTATAGATTCTCAACTTCCCACTACCTCATTATCCCCACACATTGTAGCGGTTGTAACTCCTATGTAACTCCTTTGTAACTTTCGGTGGATTACACCTATATAAATGAGAATCTCCCCTCCCCTAAATAACCCACAATTTTCTCTCTACGGATTCTTGTTATTTACATTCTTATGTATTTCCACAAACACAAACCAAAGAGCAGATAAATAGGCCATTTTACAACACGTTATCAGCACGAAATGCTCGTTGTGATCGTGGAAAGACAATCGTTCGTGGGACTAGGATACTTGAAGAATTTGTGATTCAGGTGCTCGTGAAAAATGAACCATTTTTGGCACGTGGATGCTTGAAGAACTTGTTATTCGAGTTTGTTCGTGAAATGGTAATCTTGTTCGATGAATACAATATATTCTTCAACATTTGGGCTTAAGCGTTTCAAGTAAGCCGTAATCCCTTGCAATTTTGATTTCGTAAGAGATGCATGATAGATCTATTTAATGGCATGAAATATATGAATAAACTTTATGTTCAAGTCATTACTT